TGGGCCTTCTACAGGTAGACAGCATGTAACGTTTGTTTTTCGTTAGTGAGTTCCATGGAATGGGCCTTCTGCAGGTGGACAGCATGTAACGTTTGCTTTTCGTTAGTGAGTTCCATGGAATGGGCCTTCTACAGGTAGACAGCATGGAACGTTTGCTTTTCGTTAGTGAGTTCCATGGAATGAGCCTTCTACAGGTGGACAGCGTGTAACGCTTATTCTTCGTTAGAGTTTGCTTCCATGGAATGGGCCTTCTACAGGTAGACAGCATGTAATGGTTATTTTTGTTAGAGTTTGCTTCCATGGAATGAGCTTTCTACAGGTAGACAGCATGTAATGGTTATTTTTCGTTAGAATTTGTCTCTTCAAATGAGCCTTCTACAGGTAAACAGCGTGTAGCCATTGTTCTTCAGTGGAGCTCGGATCCTTGAACGAGTTTTCTAAATCTTAACACTATGTAAGGTGTGTTGTTGGCTTTCTCAGCTTACTGAATACCGCAGCCAAAGAACCGAACACTTCTAACAAAATAACTGTACATTTGTGATATAAATTTAAAATATTTGAATTATATATGTTTTTGAATTAGTTTTACATTGTACTTCAAGAACTTTTAACCGTGTCCCTAAATCAGTTAGAAATACTCTAAAATGTTACCTGCGAGGATCCAACCTTTTTTTTTTTCCAGACTCTGTCTTTGACTGTTGCCCCATTCCTACCAGCTTCGAATATTTTTTACCATGTTGGATTTGTTGTTGCTGAACGTGTTATGTATCTTCCTAGCATGGGCTTCTGTATGCTTATTGCGATAGGCTGGTCTCACTTGTGGCGAGATAGGTAAGTAAATAGCACTAGTTCGAGACTTAGTATATCGGTTTTTAACCAGGTCCTAGGACGTACACAAGAACGACACCTAAAACTGTCCGAACAAAAGTTCAAATATAATATCAATTCAAAACAAAATCTCAAAGCAATGCAAAACGATTAACCTTTGAAAAGACAAGTCAGATGTAGTATAATGTTATAAGCAAATCCCGAAACATACATAAAATGGCTCTTTATGTCCTTTTAAGCCCCCCCCCCCCCGTAACATAGGACTAGGTTGACGTATAATACCAGTTTGTAATCTGAATCCAAAATTGGAACCCAAAACTGGAACCCGATTCTAGTTCTAAATGCTGGTTTGTGCCTCTGGTATTATATATACAGTTTGTTGTCAGGTGACTTTTATGGAGATTAACCCGTTAACAAAGTAATTTTAAAATAGTCATATCTGAGAAGAAATCATGGTTGTATTGAGAACATTGTAGACGTTCTTTCATGATATAATAATACTTTAAGATAAGGCATTTATCATGAACCACCATAGTGGTTCATAATAGGGATCGCAAGGATTTGCGAAACAAAAACCCTAATAAAACGTTCGGGCAAAAGGCACCTTAAACAAAAAAGATTCAGTTCAAACAACACTCTAAAACCTTTACTATTGACTGCTAAGGCTGTACACATATAAAAATACACAAGAAAGCACACATGTTAGACTTACAAGGAAAAGAAGAAAATCCGCTCAACACGGCCACTTTGTAATACTTATTATCATTATTCTCTTCACAAGCCTACAACAAAAGAGGCTTAGTATAATGCACCCAAATCTTTTGTATAATACTAAATAACGTATTGTGAAGGTCGTAGGGTATTGAAAATTCGATTTGTTTCTTCTGTATTTTACATAAGCCAGAAAACATCATAATTCTATTGTAAACGATGTTATCACTACCAATTGAATTTAGTGTTCCTTTTAAAAAGCTTAAGTACAAGGTGACACAGGTATTACAAGCCAATAATAGATGAACATTAGACGACAGTAACATGTAGGTACTTAATGCCTCTTACACTATACAATCGGTGTATGAACTTAAAGAAAAAAATCAATACATATAATATTCAGTTTTAGTATATACACACACACACACACATTCGTAGAGTAATTACTTTAAAAGATACGACGGTTTATTTAAAGCGATGTTTTAGACGTATGTTGTATTTGAAAAGACTGCCTTTCTACTGTTAAAATTTTATACGCGGGTTTTATATGTGGGTTGTGTCTTAGTCTAGGCATATATTTGCCCATTGCTATGCATTATATATAGATAATTTAGTTACACAGAAACTATAAATTCTCACTATTCTTTAAAAAAAATCTCCATGACAATCTCCAGCTGCAGCTTAACATTTTACATCTCGAACTAATGTGATCAAATAGTCCATAGCTACAATAAATCATCATGAACCATATCAGCTAGCTATTAGCTATTTTTATTATCATTACAATATTTAAAGTTAGCTATCATATAAAGTAATCCTTTGCCCATAGTTGAGCATAAAAAATAGCTAGCAAACAAGATAAACAAAAAATTTGTTTGCAGGTTTTTAAATTCCTAATTTTTTATTCATCTTATAATAAAAAAGACACATAGAATAGAAGAAATAAGAAACACTAGCTGTAGACAGGTCTGTTTGTTGTAATTGCCAGGATTGTATCGTTTGTTTTCGTATATTTATTTTACTGTGACTTGTATTCAAATATGTGATCACATCTTTGATATTGCTATGTCTACATTGACTTAAAAACCTTTAACTGTCCAGCTAGGAGTTTAATTAGTGATCATAACGTTTTCTCATTATTACTGTAAACATTATTTACGTATACGAATATATACTATTCGTAGGATAAAAATACAACAAAATTATGAAAAGATCCATAAAGAGAAACCCAGAAGATAAAAAAAAAAGAGTCACGTTACTTTCTTTATCAAATTTCTGCTGCAAATATCCGTCACATACAGTAAAATCATTGTAAAAGATATCATAGCATATGTGTTTACGTTAACAGTGTAGCAGGACGTAAACCTAAAGAAAGAATCAATGAAAAAAAAAACGAAATTGAATCGTTGAATCCGTCATGTAATGTTTCTCCATATACGTACATGCACGTGTCTCGTGCATAAAACGGAAAATACACAAAATAAAATCGATTTTTTTAGTATGGCATTATAATGGCTGGAAGTACATTAAAACAGTCGAATGTAGAAAAGAAAACAAAAGGGAAAACATTCATTTTAGCACATATCATATTTGATGATTACCTGGAAAAAAGTCATGAAATCGATTTTTCTTCCCACGTGCTACAGGCGTGTGAGAGGATTGGCTGTGGTTGGTCTCGCTCTCCTGGTGACGGTCCATGGAATGAAGACAGTTGTAAGAAACAGAGAATGGTAAGTTACACATAACGTTTAACAACACCCAGATAAGCATATTTTATTTTGTTTTCAGCTCGCACGCGCATCAAGTATTTCCGAGAACTAGTTTTTGTCATCGGTTATTGTCAAATTCGTTTATACCTTCGCAGAATTGGCGAATGTGACAAATTGTACTAACGTAAAGTGAAGGTTAATATTGAAACTGGTTATCAAAGTCTTCATATTCTTAAAACAAGTGTTGTTGTTTTTTTATATAATATCTCTGTATTCCTCCGCGGACTTAAAGAGTTGCAACTGCAAACATCTTGGTCGTGAATTAAGTATTTTTCGTTTACTATAACAATTGCATAAAAGTATCAAAAATCTCACCTCTTTCAATTTTATAATTAGTGTCTTTAGGATGCGTTAGTAAATTTATAAGGAAATTAATGGCATATCCATTGAATGTCGTCGCACTTTTAAAAGGAAATTAATGGCATATCCATTGAATGTCGTCGCACTTTTAAAAGGAAATTAATGGCATATCCATTGAATGTCGTCGCACTTTTAAAAGGAAATTAATGGCATATCCATTGAATGTCGTCGCACTTTTAAAAGGAAATTAATGACATATCCATTGAATGTCGTCGCACTTTTTTCTAATGGCATGATTATCATGTAAAATTATCCTACTGTTAAATCTATATAATTATTATATCTAACATACATCGTCGTTCGATGACTAAATAGACGCCATTTTTAGTCGGTTTGAATAATTTACATCATAATAATCGAACCGTTCTTGTGCCGATGTTTGTTGGTTTGTTGTTCTGGATTTTTTGGGGGTGTGGGAGGGAGATATGTTTCAGAATTTATGCTCAAGCTACAAAAACAATCATCTTTAAATAGTCATTCATAATTTTTTTTGAGCTGAAAGATTAGAGGAAAGAAATCTAATGAAGAGCACCCTCCGCCAACTCTTGGGTTACTAGCTCTTATCTGCCCGAATAGTGGGATTTGATCACCCCTTTTGTACGACATCCACGGCCCTAAAGTGTAGATCGCGTTTTTGTGGCAACGAGACGCGAAACAAAAACCCTCGGATTGAAATTTTGGGTACGCTAACGACTAGGTTTTTCCTGACCCTTTTTATTCGGGAGGGGAGTCATTATTGTGTCGTAATTTTAAGGTCTTCGTTCTTCATGGTTAAACATATAGAGAATGTAGATAACAGGCTGATTTTGGTGAATGTTTTACATCCTGACTTTTTCCTGTTTGTTTGTTTTAGCTCAAACCCATACATCGGGCTATCTGCAATATGCCCGCCACGAGGATCGAACAGCGAATTTTAGCGTTATAAGTCATGAAGCTTACAGCTGAGCCATTGAGGGGGCTTATTTCTTCTTGTAAATTTTACAACATAGTTGCTTTATCAATTGATATACATCAGTTGTGGGAATTAAAAATTATTTTTATCATGAGTACTTACATTTTAAAGTGTGATCAAATAAAGGAAAGAAAACAGAATACAAATTAAATCTATCGTGAGTGGATATACATTGAAATAAAAAATCGTAAGTAAAAGGTTAATTATGGGGTTCGAGGAGCGTATAACTGGATGGGCAGATTTAACGGATACATTATTCCATCTTTCTCTCCGTTTATACGTCTTCAGTGTCTTTCCACTGCCAATTTCGAAAACAGTATTAAAATGAAACTCGTACGGGTTTGCTGTGAGATTTCTTCACGTATTTGTTTGTTTCGGAAATTCGCTCAAAGCTACACAAAAGGTATCTTTTAGCCGTCCCTAATTTTGATCTGATAGCTTAGAGGGAACACAGCTAGTCAACAGTATCCATCACCAACTTTTGCATTCTTATGATCAAATAGTGCGATTGCACTGTCACTCTTATAACACGCCCACGACTCCAAAGGGATATTGACCAATGGGACGACCGATACACATAAGCATACAAAATTATTAGTTTTGCATGGCAGTCCTTCGGTTGGACAACGGTAACTTTACTGACATACAACGCTAAAATCAGATGTTCGATTTCCCTCGGTGGACACAGCAAATAGCCCGATAGCTATAACAAAAACACATTTGTTCGGCGTCGACAGTTTTGTGGAATGTCAAGTAAAGAATTGAAACGATAAACGTGTTGTTTTGTTCTTCTAATACCCCCCCCCCCCCAGTGACACGGAATTTTAACGGTAGAAACATGGTTTCGACATCGTGGTGGGCACATCACAAATAGCCCACTGTGTAGCTTTGCGTTTAACTCCAATTAAACAAAACAAAATCTAGTAGAACCAGCGCCACCCCCCCCCCCCCAGTGACACAGCACTATGTCTGCGGACTTATAACGCTAACAAGTGGGTTTCGATACCCGTGTTAGACACAGCTCAAATAACCCATTGTGTAACTTTGTTCTTAACTCCAAATAAACATAACAAAATCTAATAGAACCAGCACCAATACCTACACATTTAACCACATTCCTTTTACCTTTCCCATAGTTATTTGTTAATGAAGAAGTTTTTTTAGTGCTGGTTTTTATGGTGTTTGAGGTCATACTATATTAATTAGTGTTGTATGTTTGATTGCGAACTCCTTCCTCAGTTAAGCAGATAGCGGGAACACACGTACATAGGCACCACTTGTGGGTGTCCTCACAAGGTCTGGTGTTGGTTACGGACCCCCCTCCCACTTGAAGTAGCTATAGAAATAATGCTTGATCGGTACATGAGGCTTTTCTGAAACATGGGGGAGGGCTTCTGAACCCCTCAGCGGTGCGCTGGTATTTTATGCTAGTATTAATAATAACAAAAAATAGAGAGTCGGTCAATTTCTAGTTTAGGCTTAACTTGTTTATACAGATTGTAATTTAATTATTATTTTTAGGTTAAAAACAAACAAACAGTAAATATTTTGGGTATTAATGAATGCATATAATTTAGAATTATAAATTTTATGTATTTTTTACGTGTTACCACAATATAAAAAAACCGACCAAAACATTTCTATATAAAATACAAAATAGATTTCAGCAGTATTTAATGGGATTAACTGTAGTATTGATGATTTTTTGTTTGTGTTTTATGTGAATCATTATTAAAGGTTATATTACCATGCAACAAAAGCCAGAACCCACAAGCAGTTTGGTTCATGTTGAGTTTAAAAAGCTGATGTATCATATGGCCTCCATTGGTAATAATAGGGTTAACGTACAGTGTAATTTTCAATGACGGCATGCTTTTCTTTTTTAAAAACTCGTATATAATTTTCTACTGTTCAGTATAAAAAGTAAATGTATCAACTATTAAACCCTTCAAAATTCGAGTTCGTTATATAAATATTTAAATACAATCAGGGAATCAGAGGAAACTCTCTTTTCATCCGGCCTAAGAGTTAACCAGCAAAATGCCAAACTGTATAACAACTTGGGTAAAGCCTTAGAAGAACGAGCTCATTACCAGGAGGCCTTACAGTACTTTCAACAAGCTATTAGGTAAGATTATGAATCTGATACTTCTAACATTTGAAAATGAAGAAAAGTTTTACATATTCGAGATAAATCATTTTAGTGGATTGCAATCAACAGCTATAATTTTTTTTTTCGTTTATAAACTATCAACATTTCTGTACTGTACAGTTTGCATTATTATTATTGTTATTTTAACGAAATATTAGCTGGTATATCATCTTCAATCATAATTATTAATATCTTACTGTTCCTAGAGAAGTTTTTTTTTGTTAAATGTTCAATTTTCTGATAGTTCGTCCTTTTTTTTTTGTTTTTTAACTAAGAATTCAGCCTGATGACGTAAGAGGTTACCTGAACTCTGGTCGAGTGTTCACCCACTTGAAACAGTATCAAGACGCCGAGATGGTCTACCTCAAGGTTGAATTGTTTATTCTCTTTGTTGCTAAACACCGTGAAATCCTACCAGTGATTTAAAGTAAATCGTTATTGTAAAGAAGTGTCCGCCAGGCATGGCCACCAGGTGGTTAGGGCGCTCGACTCGCAATCTGAGGGTCACGGGTTCGAATCCCCGTCCCACCAAACATGCT